GGCGTCAGCCCCGATACGCCCGAGTTCCCGCTGAGTCTTCGCGAGGTGCTGTCCAGGCTGGGCAAGGGCCTGGATGAGACTTCAGACAAGGAGGTGCTGCGCAGCAAGAGCCTGGTGTGGATCCAGATGATCCTCCTCGCCGAGGACCTAGACGAGGGCATCAAGGCCGTGTTGGAGGCTACGAAGGGCAAGTTGCAGGCGTAAAATGTGTTATGTGGATATCGGGAAGAGAAAAATTGGCTATTGGTACAGAAAAGCAAAGGAAAACGGAAAAGCGGTGCTCGAAATGCGCATTTGACGGGAATAGACGGTGCAGAACCGACGCACCACCCTTGATACCACTTGCACACTCGGCGTTAGCCCCTAATTGAACTGGTTTGAAGCAAACACGCTACGCCGCCGAGTAGTTCGGAAACTTCTTCCCCTCCTCAACAGCCTTCTCCCACTCGCCGTCCTCGTCAAGCTCCTTCGCCATGCGGATGACCTCGTCCCACTCCTCCTTCGTAACCTTGTTCACGCTGAGACGGCCCAGCTTGAGCAGCTGCATGTTCGCCAGCGGGCCCTTCGGCCCGACCTCCTTGAGCAGCGACAGCGGCACGATGCGCGGGAACTTGTGCTCGATCTTGACGTGCACGAGGCTCCATTTACTGCCATCGTGGGGCGCCGCGTCGTCGTAGTAGGGATTGTCGTTGATGCACGCGTTCCCTGCCGTCGTCAGCTAGCTCAGGAACTGTGGAGGGGTTACTTACAGTCTGGGGAGTGCTCTTTCACGATGCTGATGATGCCCACGATCCCCGGCTCCTTGCAGTTGGAGTGGTAGAAGAAGGCCTTGTCGCCCTTTCGCATGTCTCTGAGGTTATTCCTGGCCGCATAGTTGCGAATACCTGCAGCATCGTCAGCTACCAGTCTGTAGATGAGAATGGTAAGGAAGCCTACCCTCCCACCCTTCGGGCGTCTTCTTCGCCGCCAAATCGTCAATCGAGAACTTAATCTCATACCCATCCTCGATCCTTACATCCGGCTCCGACTTCATGAGCCAGAAACGCTCCTCCGGCGGACTCCTCCGCTCGGCGTCCGGGTTGACGTCCGGCACGGAAGCGGATGCGTCGCGGAGCGCTTTGAGCTCGTCCTTGGTCTTTCTCGGCGGTGCTTCTTTCTTGCCCGCGGCGGGTTTCTGCGAAGGTGTCAGAAAATGAGTTGTGGTTTGTGGGGGTATGGGTGAAGCGCACCTTGGTCTTCTTCGCAGCTGGCTTCTTGACTTCCTCAACCTTGGGTTCCGGCTCATCTTCCGGCTCGGCTTCAACGGCTTTCCTCTTGCGACCAGCGCCAGCTGCTTTCGAATTCTTCTCTTCCGTTTGAGTCTTGCTAGTCGCCTCCTTCTTGGCTACTTTGGTCTTGGCGGGGGCCTTGCTCTTCTCAACGGCCGTCTTCTTCTCATCCGCCGGCGCCGCAGCGCTCAGGCGCGTCGACGACCGGAGACTGCGTGTGACGGCAGGCATTGTACTGTTAATCCTAGGCAAAAACAATGAGTGATTCCCTGTCCTGTATTTCAAGGGATGAATGTATGAGATTATGGCAGGTAGTCCGTTTTTCTGGGTGTTTGATTTTCTCAATCGCGTTGACGAAATGAACTGCTTCATGCTCATGGGTGACGCGACGACGGGACGCACTGAGCGCACAGTGTCGCTGGATGAGAACTGACAGGGCGCACGGCCCTGGTGTTCGGGATTTGATCACGTAATCAGTCCGTGTTGTTCAGGTTTTTGATGAGTTAAATGTGACTTGTAGAGTTTTTATTAAATGTAGGCGTGGAGGGGGAGAGGAAATTCTTTCTTCGCAAGAAAGCTGATGAAGTTTGTGCTAGATATTTCTTTCAAAGAGTCCACGAATCGATCGTCAAAATGTACAAGCATGAGTCCGTTCCGTACCTAAGAAGTAGGTAGTGGAGAACCACGGTTGGCTGCTCGTTTCTCATTCACCCCCAATGGATATCATTCTTAGCGACAACTGACTAGAACTTCCGTCGCCATTTCAATTCAAAGGAAGTCTAACTATGTGTATATCTCACAAGAGTCAGATATTGTGATTCAACGCTCCCGCACAGAAGACCATCCTGTCAGACACCACAACTCCTCCTCCAAATCAACCTCCTCCCACCAACCTCACAACACCACAACGCCAAGACACCCATCAAGAACAACCACGTTTTCGGTCGTAATCTCGTCAAGATTGAACTCTTGATAAAGGCGGAGCAATTAGAATTAAAAAGAGGAGTTGTTTCCGGCTAAGTAGCTCCGTCCTGGAGAATAACCAAAAGAGGCTCACGGGGAGTACTTGCACGCCATCGAGGACACATTACAAGTCTTACCCCCCGGAAGGAAGCCTAGGACTAATACAGGGGACAGTCATGGTAACTATGACAACGATGAAGAAGAAGCGAATGAAGCTTCCTCCGGGGGAAGAAGTGAAGACTTAGACGACCGCCGACGTTTTTGAAACAGAGTGTCCTCAAACACGATTCGGACGAAAGCGTTGAAACCAAGCGACTATCTTCGTCGTTAACTTCATCGTCATGACTCGTTCATCCTTGCTCCTTGGTCGATTGAACACAGATGCAGATTTCTTGCGTCCATTCTCGATCTGAAGGTGTCACTCATAGTGGGACTATTCCCTACCTGTTGACCGGAATCTGCAAATGCGCCAGCTCTTGGCTCAACCAACGCAATCAGACCCTTGTCTTCATGTACATACAGCCTTCCTCATTTCGCACTGATTGGTCGAGCCCCTTGTCTGCTGTTTGTTGGCTCCTCGATGGACACGGAAATCGACCCATACCTTTCACAATTCGCTTAGAGCCTGCATCTGAACTGAATAAAAATTGTCTCCAATTCGTGCGCGGAGGGGGGCGAAGACTCCGGTATCTCGGGTGGATGCTCGCAAAGCGAGCACCAACAACGACAAACAACTGGCTGGAAAAGAGGGGTAACTTCCCTGTTCGCGGCTATCTTGCCTCTTCCTCAGGTCGTTTTAAAGACTGATGTTCCCTCCTATGCTCCTTTTCTCCATGAGTCTTTTGTTCTTTCACATTGACTGCGCGGAAAATCAGGCCGAACGAAAATGCAGGCTCCAGCTCAACCCACCGCCGCCAACGAGGCGCAAATAGCTCCTGACCCGGCCAATGAAGTAAGTTTACCATGGCGAAGCAACAGCTTAAGGCTGCAGAATCGCAATATGGCGAGAGGTATGCTGACGACCGCCGACCAGGAGCAGGGCATCGCTGTTGACGACGGGGCCTCCCAGGGAGATGGGGAGAGGTGATTTGAAACTCCAGGCTATGCGTATGGGAAAAGACGCTCACAAAATTGCGAATAATTGATTACAGTGTCCATACAGCCTCGACAGCATCTCTGAGCGAGAGCATCACCGAGTATCGGCGCCTCCACGGGCGCACTTACACCCAAAAGACCGATTATTGCCTCCCGAATGACAAGAGGCAGAATGAAGGGCTTGATATTGCGTAAGCTTCTACTATGCTCACGATGTTTTGATTATTGAACGTCACCCATATAAAACGAGCTGGATTAACTCTTTTATTCGAAAGGCATTACTGGGAGACTCTATTTCTTGACGATAGGCTGTTCCTTGCTCCAATTGGTGACAGCCCCCAAGTAAGTCTCAATGCAAGATATCTCAACCCTGGCAGTTTCTGATTGAAAAAATAGAAGGTTCTTGACCTTGGAACGGGGACAGGCATTTGGGCCATGTGAGTCCCGGTGCACGCTCTGGTCTAATATCGCAACCGCTAACAAACCCATAGCGACTTCGCCGACGAATTCCCCTCGGCACAGGTGATAGGCGTTGATATATCGCCCATTCAACCTGGTTGGGTCCCCCCAAACTGCAAGTTCCAGGTCGACGATATTGAGCAGCCATGGACATGGGACGCAGATTTTGACTACATCCACATCCGCCATCTCGAGGCCAGCATCTCGGACTGGCCTGCTCTCTACAAACAAGCATTCGATCATCTTAACCCGGGTGGCTACATTGAGATCAAGGAGCTTGACATTGAAGATCATTCTCAGGCTCTTGGCGAGGACCTGCCTCAAGACCACGTCTACCGCAGATGGGCAAAAGTCTTCTTTGAGGCCACAGACAAGCTAGGAAAGACCATTCAGCAGTCTCGAGACCACGGAATCGCCAAGGCCCTCAGGGAAGCTGGCTTTGTCGACATTGTGGAGAAAAAATGGCCTATCCCCATAGGCGCGTGGCCCGCTGACCCCATGCTCAAGGAAATCGGCGAGTGTAACTGGATGTACCTGGACCAGTCGCTCGAGGGATTTGCGCTTTTTCTTCTCAAGGAGATAATGGGTTGGGAATACGCCGAAATCATCGTCTTCGTTGCTGAGATGCGGAAAGCTCTGAAGGACCTGAGTCTCCAGCCCTTCTATCACCTGTAAGTCGGTTCATTCCGCGTCAACATGCGTACATGAAATCGAAGAGAAGCTAATCATGTCGCAGCAATCTTGTGTATGCGCGTAAACCCGAGGAAACAGAGGACACTCAATCTTGAAGCTCGGGGAACCGGAATCGGAGAAAGATCTCGTCTGACGTGATTGGAAGATCATAAATGGAAGCCTCTTGTTTATAGTTATGAGTCAAGAACGTTTACACAATACAGTGTTCATCATGGCTCGTGAAGTTAAGGCTGTTGATTGAATTGCGCGTGTAGCGAAGGCAAGCATAGTTGTTCAGCCGCCAACCCTCGTGGTGCACAACGATTGGGGAGCTGATGATTCAGCCAGCGTATTTGCCCATGTTGATAAACGGTAAAGTCCTGGGTTGAAGCTCGGCGGAACCTCTCAATGCTGATTCGTGTTCTCTTTCAACATGGACTGTTCTTGGAGCGACACAATCTCGCCGAAAATTAAGTCGCCGTCGTCGTCGTCGTCTTCGTCTGAAGCTTCAGGACCGACAAGCGAAGAGGGAGGCGGGACTTGCTAATCCTCTCCCTGGCTCTCGCCTTGATCTTCCGGCTGGCTCTCAGGAGGGAAGATGTCTCCCATATCCTCTGACTGCTGGATCGCCGACGAGGTCCAGGCCATTTCGTTCGTCTCGTCAATGGTCAACGGAGCAAGCTCTTCTCCGGCACGCTTACTCCACTCAAGTACCTTATTTTTCAGATCAATATCAACATCTCCATCTCCAAACAGAACCCTCGGGGCATCATCCCCGCCACTAAAGCTATACAGCACATCTTCGTCGACGTCCTCACCTCCATTCAGCGTCATCATGGTCATAATTCGGTCCCTTAGTTTCAGGAGCTCTGGACTTGGAAGCATATTGGAGTCGTCTGAGGTGATGGTGAAACGGTGCCCGTCGTTGATCCGATAATGAGTATCCGCAGAGATGAAACACACTTCGACTGGCCGTTTTGCTAGCTTCTCGATAATCGTGTCGGCCAGATTCTTGTAGTCTGTCATCTTAGTTCTGGGATCCGTCGCAATGCCTTCGGGAAGCTCGGACCCTGCTCCCTTCCTCTTGCCACAGTCCAAGGGCTCCAAGACGCGAACTGCTAGGTCGATCCTGTTAGGTAAACACAGAACAGGGGAGAAAGTGATCTTCCCAGTATCCCACAAATGGCGAGGTGCATTGTCAAGGGTGACCATATTCTTGGGGATGTCAAAGTCCTTGATGCTTAGTGCGTCCTTGAACTTGTCGCACGTGTTGCCGCCCCAGATGAATCCCAGCGCGTAGAGTGAGTTTTTACATGCTGCTGCGGCCTTCGTCTGGGCCACCGGATATATGTGGACATCCTCTTTGACGGTGGTATGAAGTAGTGTGCACTTCCCTCCATTCCTCTCTTTAGTCTGTGAACAATATGTCAGCACGACGTAACGATTCGATGAAACCAGACGCCAGTAAACTTACCTGGTCAATGGAAATCTGGTTGCGTGTCTTCTTCTTCGCCTTGCCTAGCAGACTTTGAATGCCGCTGCCAACGCCACTCTTGCTCGTTGCCGGTTTAGAGGGTGTCGTCTGCTTGGAGGATGCTGTTTGCCCAGAGGATGTTGCATATGAAGATGTTACGGTATTTCGCTTGTTCATCACTGTGATTGCATTCGTTACCAAGTTTAATTCATCACTTTTCGTGCATCTAATCAATAGATCAGCTACTCACCTATTGATATGACGTTCGCAACTGCGAAATCAACGCCAACAAGTATTGTTTCAATCGTTTCGACGAAGAACCTGCCACTTCTTACCTTGAAATCAAGGAATTGATGGAGTTCTTCCACAGTTGCAACCAAGAAAGCAGCCCAGACGTTCTCCTTGACTCCAGTCTGAGCAATACGCCTTGGCGGTTCATTGGGTGTTTCGCTGGAGATCTCCGTGTCGCTGATTGCTTTGAGGATGGCCAACTTTTCTTCCAGACGATCAATGTACGGTAAGGCTGGCAATGAGGAACCGTTTCCTTCCGCGACGCTTGTGTTGTTCATCTCGGATGGCAGATGGGATTCCCTCTCGGCAGACAGAGCTGGACGACAGAGCTGACGACGACGACGACGACGACAGAGCTGACGTCACAGAAGAATGGCAGACACGAGAGTTCCGAAACGGGTCCTGCAAACGCTTGTCAATACTGAGATAGCATCACTAGAAAGATATCGCATTGGCAGAGGAGAAAGCTCCAAGAAACAAGTGAGGAGGAAGAGTGTTTTGGGCCGGAGAAGCCTCACTGTTAGAGCGGAAAGTTCTCGAGCTTGCGACGAACACAGGCGATCGCGCCAATCAGGAGAGAGCAAGACATGCGCAAACATCAATAGATAACGGAGGAAGGTGAATGAAAAATACCTTAGTAGGTATGACAAAACTTACTAATATAGGTAGAATCTGCAATGCGAGACTTTGGAAAAAGGTGCCCTTCAAGGTACACAAAGATGAGCAAGCCGCACTTAAAATCGCCAGCCAGAGCAATGGTAGAAGATGTTTAATCTTGGTCTTTGTGGCAAGCTTTCTTAAAGATGTTTGACGGCGTAAGCAGCGAATAACCGGTGTTCTTGGTTCTCCTTATTTCTTTCATTCCGATACTGAAATCATATATTTACGGTTTACCTACTTAAACCAAGTGGCATCAGACGCGAAATCATGGTGCACTCATCGGCACCAGATCATTCCAAGTCTTGATATTCAGGATAATCCCAAACTCAGGATAAAAAGACCTCAATCGGACTCCTCTTCTGCAAGCCTGTCAAGCTCCTCGCGATCCCTGGCCACGACTGCATCCAGGTCGACGCTATTTATCACCATCCCTCTTATCGCTTCAGAATTAATAAATTACACTTTCTCGGGTCTACAGTGAAAGTATGTATCTTCCTTTAATAAGTAGCCTGACCTAATGCCCCATAAATAGATCACATGAACCTCGACAACATTCCTAGACCGTCTGCTAATCAAAAGTGACTAGGCGCGAGAAAAGTGTTTGTCGTCGAGGTTGCGCTTAAGCAGTAGCCGGCGGATCAGGTAATCTACAGCCAGAAACTCGTGTAAATCTGTGTCCCCAATCGAGAGCATATCACTATCGAAGTTGAACCAGACATAACGCTCCTGCTTAGGGTCACCCTCGGGCAGAGGGTGGAACCCGTTCCACGCTTTGGTAATGATCCCTGAGAAGGTCCTTCCATAGCGATATTCATCATCAGCATATTTAGTCAGGTGAACGCGGGCCTCATGACTGGTTTGCAGCTGGGCAGAAACTGGGGTAGACGAGCGCAAGTGGCGCATCATCCGCGGACGTTTGACCGCCCAGTCATTTGTCTGCGCTCCTCGCGCAGGTCCCTTGACGTTGATGGGGCTTAGTCTATGAATGCACTCGCGTACCTCGACGATGCGGGGCTCGATGGTCAGCTCCCAAATGTGAGCGCGAATCTTGGCCGGGAGCTTTTGAAATAGGTGGATTACTTTAGGAGGGGTGGTCATAGTATCTGGTCCCGCAAATTGCTGGTGGTAAAGAAGTACGAAGTAGTGAAAATAGAAAGTGTGAGATGGAGATATTTTGAGAACTTCTCGCTTGTTTAGACGGTTGAGATGAGACAAAATGGCTAGTGATGTTGGCTTTGATCACGAGTTACGAGATGAAGGCCTGCTGCATTGCACCAGCATGCCAAGACCCATCAATCTAATCACGCTACGTGGCGACGAATCACAGCAAATCCAAAAATATTTAGCGCCCCCGCCTAAAGGAATCCTTCCACGATATCCTTCGTGTTTTTGACTCAGCTTTCCTGTTCTGAAAGAGTGTTTGATCTCTCTCATTCTCATCTTCAGCGCGACGACGCAAATTGTCCTTTAGCAACGAGCAACCGTTGCCCATGACAAAATGGCATCGATTTACTCAAGACGTTTGCCGAGTCGATGCATCAGAGTCCTTGTCCTCCAACCTGGAGCTGGTCCCGACCCCATCACTACGAACCTGCGAGAGGCAAGCATTGATGATCCACCTTCGTTTCACGCCTTATCATATGTCTGGGGCGACCCGTCTCAGCGCCAAGACATTCGATGTCAAGGCCAACAGGTTTCCGTCACGAAGAGTCTGTTCGACGCCCTTCGCCACTTTCGACTTCCCACCGAGGAGGTACTCATCTGGGCCGACGCACTTTGCATAAACCAGGAGGACATGGAGGAACGGGCAGAGCAAGTCCAGCTGATGCGCGATGTCTATTCACGGGCGTCCCTTGTCGTTGTATGGCTCGGTCTTGATGAAGACAACGAGACCGCAAGTACTATTCCGCTGATGGAAGCGATCTACAAAGCGTGCGAGGATCAAGCCTTGGCTCGTGGGGTTGAGCTACTGAGCATGGCTCACTTCACGATTGCCACGGAGAAGATGGAAGGTTTTGCTGGTGTCTCCATCTCTGACATCGCCTCCGCCGCTCAACGTTTAGGTCTCCCAAAGCCTGACTCCAGTAACTGGACCGCCCTCAAATGGCTCTTATCAAGGCCCTGGTTCACAAGGGTGTGGTGTGTCCAGGAGATTGTGCTGGCACGCTCATCTGAGGTTTATGTCGGCTCTTACTCGTTCGAATGGGACAGACTGGGCGTCACGGCCGCCTGGCTTAGCGAGCAGAATCTTGCAAACGACTATGATATACCTGCTGAACTCGACGGAATTGCCTGGGACAATGCGTACAGCATGTTTGATAAAAGCGAACTTTCAGAATTGAGCTTCCTTGAGATTCTCTTGAGCTTTCGCGACTTCCACGCTACAAACCCCAGAGACAAGGTCTACGGTTTACTGGGACTTGTTAATGAAGCAACGCTCGAGGGGCTCGCTAGTGTTGACTACAGAAAGACGGTTGCGGAGGTCTATATCGATGTGGTGAAGGCCTCGGTAGCAAGCAGTGATAGTCTTGCCCCTCTATGCTATGCGAAGCATGGTGTTGAGTACGAGCGCACAGAATTTCCGTCATGGGTACCTCGATGGGATGTCAGCGAGGACGTCAGCAACATTCTTCACAGGATTTCGGTGACGGCGTGGGAAGAGGGAGATAAACACGGTCTGCCAAGTCTTGTTGAATTTCAGCCTTCATCAGATGGCAAGGTCGGCCTTTCTGGTGTGCGCTTCGATGCCCTCGCTTGGACCACTGAGGTCTTTGACATCAGCCATTTCAAAGAGGACATATCCCCTGCCGAAGCTAAGAAGCATCCCTTCCTTGAGATTTGGCACCGAGTGTCATCGACGAAGTCTTACCCACTATTCGGTTCAGAAGATGCCCCATTTGGGGCACTCCTTGAAATGGGACTAACACTCACCACCAACTTCACGGAAGGCTACGAGTTTGTGTTTGATCTGGAGCAAGATGACCGACATTGGTTTTACGCAGACTATCTTACTTACATCAAGAAGCTCTTCAGCGTTGCAGGAAAGACGCCAGATACTTACGACCCCCTAGAAGTGGCACTATGTGAAGGCGAGGCGAATCGCTTCCGAATCGCCGCCTCGAGATCTTGCGACCAAAGACGAATTTTTGAAACGGTCAATGGCTTCTACGGACTCGCACCAGCCTGTGCAAAGCCCGGCGATATTGTCGTTCTCCTTTATGGTGGACCCATTCCATTCGTTCTTAGACAGACTGATGATGGTTGGCTTCTGCTTGGTGATACCTTCGTGGGACCTCTGATGCCAGAGTCGGATAACGAAAGCATCAGGGAAAGGTTCAGCAAAGAAGAGTTGTTTATCCTTGTGTGAGGTGCTGGTCAATGTTTCAGAAATTCTGGTCCTTCAGGGGATGCAAATGGAAACATCATTCGGACAATTCTACAACGGCCATCTTGACGATTTTTGAACTTGGTCATGTGTTCAAAGTTGCTGCGCCGCCAACTTGCGCGCTGGCTGCAGATGCTGTGGTTATTACATCATTTTATGTAAGTGAATCCTTCGAAATGGTGGACCAACCAGAGGCATTCCTTTAATCCACAACAGTTGTTTATTTTGCTTACTGGTTCCATCTGTCCATTTGCCGCGGGCGGAAACGTCGAGCCATGAGCGGGGTTGAGGGCATCGCTTAAAGACAGACTCACGATTATCTCGTGTCTGACCCCAATCTTTTGCGTGTGCTGATTTTCATCTCGGTCTTCATTTGTCCCCGTACCCTGCCTGGAGCTTGAGCCCCGGCGAACACTGAAGTGGCTGTTTACCCACCCATCAGTTCTCAAGATATCTGGCTATTGAAGAACTTCAGAATCTGAAAATGTCCTCCGAGCCTCCCACGATCCGCGAGCCAGACCAGGATGTAGATTTTGATGGCATGGACGGCGACTCTCTGCTGAGACAGCCCAAATTCCAAGAGAGTCTGAAGTTCTTAGAAGATGTGAAAGTCGGTTGCATCCAACTTCTCACGATATCATCGTCTAACACGGGTGATAGAAGCGGTTCGAGACAACGCAGCCGGATGTTTACCCGACGTTCATCCAAGCGCTTAGTAAATTCAACCAAGCCGCTCCGCAGACCCAGGAAGAAGCCGACAGGAACATTGCGGAGATCCACGCCAAAGTCACAATCCTATTTCACGGACATCAGGATCTGCTGGACAGATTTGAGAGTACACTTCCGGCCGAATATTTTCACCAAAGGGCTAGATCTGAGGGTCAGATGTAAGGGTGGCTTGTTTTCATGGGTTTAAGGGATTTACTTTTAGGCGTTTGTGAAACTTCAGAGGTTGAATTAATGACTGTTTCTACCCACGCGATGGTGCTCAAGTGTGCCTGAAATGCACGCCGGTCGCTTCTGCTCACGGAAGTCGGGGTACATTAGTTCGAAGTAGCAGTTGTGGGACGTGGCCCGAGTTTCGCAGGTCTTGCGGCTTTTCTGTCCTCCTTTCGATTTGTCTCCTGGAATCTTTGTAAGCCTTGTCACAATATTTGGTCCTAGATCGACTTTGTCTTCGATCGTGGAAACTTTGGCAGAGGTGCAGGTTCTCCACATCGTTGAACACCCATG